TAGACCTTGTATTGATCTTCATTTCTGTCTTAATGGTCCCGCACATAAATATATAAAACAAGTAAAGTTTGCACCGACTTTGCTCTGAGAAAAGAATTTTAGAATAAATATTGTTTTGGATGAACTATTTTAAGGAAGTTTTCATAATGAGATGATATATGCTATCTGAAACTCTAAATATTTTCTTCTAATTATTTTTTCTAATTATTTATTCATTGTATTTTCCTTAAGAGTACATTTTTGCGTATGTAGATGTAATTTGTTAACGAAAAAATGTATAAACCAGCCTTTACTTTTTGTAGCCTACGAGATACGTTCATGTGGACAGAAGGATGTAAGGTCGGAAGGACGAACATAGCAATATACATCCGGCTCATTGTCTTGATCAAGTACATATTTACTTTTTGGATTTTGTAACACATACTTCTTCCTATGATTTTAGATAAATCTATCAGTAAGCTAAGATCATAAAAAGTTTCAATCTCTGTCTAGCTCTGTAACTTGATGCCACTCTTATTATTTACGCTATTTAATTACATCAATTTATTTACCTTTTGTGCCAGAAATAGCTTCTCTGCGATTCTTTTCAAAGAGTTTTACTCGATTTAAATTTGGCTTTTCATAATTTACAACTTCATTAACAATGCGATCGATTCGAAGCGAATCATGAACATTCATTCATGAAAACAGATAAATTTCGGAGATTTTTTCTTCTGGGGAATGAATTGAATTGGATTGGAGCATAGAAATGCGCATCATCATGATCAAATGGATGGATGAATGAATGAATGAATGAAACAAATWGCTTTGAGTGCGCCTCGCTTCGCTTCGGCTCGCCTTGCTTTGCCTTTCCTTGCCATTTTCTGCTGTATCATTTCCATTTGCCCCCTTCCACCCTTTCCCCATCTTGACTGGATTTTTGGATATCCTTTGTGGGGAACTCTGAGCGGACTCGAGGTGTCGGCCGTGTAGGCTAATTGGCAGCGTGTTCAAAGGTGCCGCCAGCAAATTAAGTATGAGTTACCAATTTAGCTTTTATATCTCTATTGCACACACAGACACACATGCACACAGACACCTATACATACAGACTCGAATACACACTTGTTCTCAAAGACGGCGCTGCGGATGCGTTGATCATCGCATTGGGAGGGCAGTTTGTACAGCCTCTCTTTCCGTCACTCTCTTTACTCTCTCTCACTCTTTCCCTCTCTTAACTGGTTTTGGCTGGAAGTAATTGCAGTCCTTTGATTGCATTTGTATGCCAAGCTGAATTGTTTACATTTATCATAATCAGCAGCGAGCAAAAGTCGCGCCTCGGGGTCGGGCCTTTGCAAGCTTTTCTCTTCTTTCCTTTGGGGGGCGCCAGTTAGCTTGCAACCTGGCGTTGCAAGTGCCGCGCTGTGGCAACATGATGTAGGTCGTCTGCACAGGGCACTTGATCGTGTGAGCTGTGCGCATAATTGCTGACAATGTGACGGAGCAGGAAGTACGCAAAACAGTTTAACAAGCAGCCGAATGAAATGAAGCGAATTGAAGTCTGTTGATGATGATCAGATACCCTGTAATATATGGAAAATGCAAATATAGGTATGATAAGGAAATGCATCTATAGATACTCTGCAGTCAACAGTTAGAAGAAGACGTGGGTGGACTCACAGATAATTTATATTCCAAACCACGAATACGAATTAAGGTACTTTAGCTATCTCTATTCTAGTCTATTACACTTTCCCTACTTTGTACAGGGTATGATGCCACGAACAGAATTGTAGGAAGTACAAATGATATGGAAATAAGAAAAGCCATTTGAGCTATTTCCGTTTGGACTCGAACCATTTTGTGCACTAACTCCTAGCTTTTTCACTTAGCAAAAGACAGAGCGAAAGAGAGCAGGAGAGAGAGAGAGAGAGAGATAGTGAAATAGAGCGAGAGAGAAAGGGAGAGAGAGAGTTGCTGTGACCGCTCATGAGCTGCGTTCATTAGTCATTTTTAGTTGATGCGATTAATGGGTTTCGACAGTTACGCATGATAATAGCGAGCTCTAAATGCTTTTCTATTTGTTTTCACGGAAGTGCTGGGAGTTTTTTGTATTTTTTTTTTTCACTCTTGCTTCCCATAATTAGAGTTCGCCTCAATTTGGCTGAGCAAATTTCTCAGCTACTAAAACTAAATGCCAACGGTAATGGGCAAGTCATTTGTGCTCCATAGCCATAAAGTATATCAGCTAGCTCTTTCGCACAAGCACAACTTCCGACTTGCTCCCTCTCTGTCTATTTCTCTCTCCCTCTCTCTGTCCGTCTGTAGCCAATGATTTCAATTAAACATTTTCCAGCCGCAACTTTCGCCCAGAGCACTTTCAAAACGCATTAATCACGCCCAGCTTCATCTGACGGGGAGCCTAGAGAGGAGAGGGAGGAAGTGTGGTAGGTTGCTAGAGCAGGCGAACGTAGGTAGCTCTAAAAAGTTTCTTTATCTCGAACGCATGCGTCGCATTGTCACACATTTGAAAATGAAAATAAATTGCTTTCCAAACTACAGATATGGCCGAGAAAGATCTCGCGTCCAGCTGGCTGCTCATGCATATGTAATGGGGTTTTCCGCCTAGTTTACGAACTGTTAGAAGACAATCGAATCGGTTCGTTGGCGGCGCGATAAGCGCCAAATTATACTGAAGCTCCAACTGGAGCTGCCTGGCTGCTCAGCTCATCTCAGCTCTCCTCGGCAATCGGTCGGCATCATTAGCAGCGGAATTGATAGCTTGATTATTCAAATTATTAACAAACGATCGACTGCTGCTGCTGCTGCTGCTGCGGCTGCTGTTGTTGTTGTTGTTGTTGGCGACGATTGATGGCGCGCTTCAGTTTTTTAAAAGTGCTGCCAGGTGCCTCACAGGTCACAGACTCTGAGGCTGATGAAGAAGAAGCAGCAGACGCTCAGCTTGAGAGTGAAAAATGTGTGCGCCGGCGGCGGCGTTCCGAAAACCCTTTGAACTGGCCCGCAAAACGGTAGCCAACGCCGGCTATGTCCGTCCGCTTCACTTTGAAATATTCGGAAACCAGTAAAGCAATTTCTAATCAGACTGTTAGACGATTAGATACCCTGTAAGATAAGCATCCTCTGAATGCAATGCGATGCTGCTCCATTTTCGTTTATCTGCACACAATTCATATTTTCAAATTTCCATACGCCCATTTTCCAAATTTTCAGGATATTTTGGTTTCCCGCCCACATTCCTTTTTTGTCTTAGCTCAAAATGACATTCTAATACAATTGTATGCTTTTCTAGGTCTTGCTATAATACCCGCACTAAATGCACATAATTTACGAGGTATGCTGATTGCTTGAAAATTAATAAATATTGAAATAATTTAAGTAAATTTTATATGCAAATCGCTGACGTTCGTTACTTTGCGAGCTGCAAAACGCGCTCGGCTTTAAACACTTGGAGCGGTTCATTTTGATATTTAATACCCTGTAATCATGATACTATGTTGAGTCTCTTGAGTCCAGAGTGTAGGAAAGAATGGTAGGTATACAATTAAATTGAACTAGCTTGTTCTTAGTCCATCAACTTGATATCGATAAATATCGATTGTGAGACTTTGTGTATATTTAGGCAAACCTCGATAGCTTGAGATAGAGGTATAATGTTTAACTTGGAGATTCGTAGAGCTAACTAGACTCGACAGGGTATCTTGCTAGTCAGGCATTGCCCGATCGAGTACCCCGTCGTGTTACTTTTATGTGTATCCAACTCGTTTTTGATTTTGTTCACTCTTTGTTTTTGCCAAGTGATTAAATTAATAATTAATTAGTTTAAATTTTGAATAACGGTTGTAAATAATCATTAATAAAAATTAAAAAAGATTTCTTTTATTTTAAGAGCTCGACGAAATACGCAGCACAATTATCAAGAAACTTTGTCTGCCACAATCCAAATTCAAATGCAAACCGATTCAAGATCAACTGAAGAGTAGGTAAAGAGGGGGAGAAGGGGAGAATGCTAGATGGAGGGAATGGAGAGGGAGGGGGAGGGGGCAGTGGAAGCTCTTTCAACTCGTTTCCTTAATGACCCGCGACTTCTGCGTTGTTTGCTTAAATATGTTAAAATTTATTGGCAACGGTTTCTCAATTTGCATACCATAAAATGGGTTAAAAAGTGTATAAAAAACGAAGCTCAGCCAAATTAGTAAAATCGCAATCATCCGATCTAGAAGCTAACGCAACTAATTGAGCATTTTAGAAGCTGGAACGCGTTCATTGATCTGCAGCAATTTAAAATGGCATCCAATAAAAAATATGAATATAAATGAAATATTATAGTGCTATTATTAAACGGGAGATCTAGTTATTCGATTGAGTTTCTATCGATCTAGCATGGTCGATTATTATCGACTGTGAGTTACAATGTAATTAAATAATAATCAATAAAAAGAATTCACACACATTTGTATTCGTCATCATGAATCAATCATGAATCAAGGCACACGGTATGATTGAATGCATTTGAAACTCTTTGAGTGTTGCTTTGGTGGCCCTGAAAAGGGCCGTTGGGTGATTCTTGTTATTTATCGCCTTTGGGTTGGCTCTTTATGTGTCGTCGCTGGTGTGGGTTTGTCGATGCCTGCTGCTGCCTGGCCGAAAGAGGCCTTGGTCCGGTTAGCTTAAGCCAAGAGGCAAGCCACTTATTGTGCGCGTGTGTGTGTGTGGCATGCCTCATTGAGAGTCTGCATGGGTTTGAATCGAGCCTTTGTCGTGCATCATTTGATTGTCTCATTTCTGTTAATTCAAATCTCTGGAGAGTCGAGTATCAATCATGCTATGTGAGTGTCTAGCTGTGGTTGAAGTGATCTTTTCGTTTTTCGCATGAATGGTATAGGCAATGCGAATGAGTCAATCAGTCAATCGCTTCAAGTATGGAGCTGCTTCTTCTTGACTTGGCCTGCATCCAAAATTTGTCTAAGCTGTTCCTCTAAATGAAAGTCTCAATCGTTCAATCAATCCGTCAATCAATCATTTGTTTCAAGTGTAAAGCTGCAGTGGAATAGGGCTGCCTCCCCTTACACCTGGTATCCAAAATCAATAAAATCTTCTCACGAATGTCTTGATCGTCAATCAATCAGGCATTCGCTTCGAGAGTGGAGCTGCGGCCGGATCGGCCTTGCTGCTCGCATCCAAAAATTAATATAATGTCCTCCTCAATACTGTGCTCGCTTTTTGTACCGTTCATCGGGTTGCAAGTGCGACGTTGTCGCCGCCGCTGCTGGCGCCCGCTCATTTGGGAGGCGTGGCCATGGCCTGGGCAGCCGAGACGGGCACTGGCACCACCATGCCAGCGGCAGCGGCTGCTGCGGCCAGACCCACCATGTCCGCCTCGTGCATGGGCTTCTTCTTCAGGATGCTCAGATCGTTGACGTTCTCGAGGAAGGATTTGTGGGCGGAGAAGACCTTGACGCTGTCGAAGTCCTTCTTCAGCTCCTCGATGTCGCGCTTCTGCTTGGCGCGGCGGTTCTGGAACCAGGTGATCACCTGGGCATTGGACAGACCCAGCGAGGCGGCGATCTCGTCGCGATCGGCGGGCGAGAGGTACTTCTGGTAGAGGAAGCGCTTCTCCAGCTCGAAGATCTGATGGTTGGTGAAGGCGGTGCGCGACTTGCGCTTCTTCTTTGGCTGCGGCCGGTTCGAGAATATGTCCAAGTGCGATTTATCTGCAAGGCAGAAGAGACAGAGAGAGAGAGAGATTAGTTGACGCTGCAGTTGAAACCGGTTGGGATCGCTTAAAGCGTAGAGGCGAGTCGAGTGCAGTCGACTACACGAGTGTTAACAAGCGCACTTCTAAGTCGCATTAGAAATAATTTTTAATTGGCCGCGACGAGTGTCTGGGCGATTGTTAATTAAAGTGCTTTGATTTATGCATTTAAATGATTTAATTGCAAGCATTTGCCTATGTGCTGAGAATACACTGTTGAAGTAAGTAAACATTGGGCATATTGGTTTGTGGAATTGATTATGGTATCAGGCCAAAAGTATACACTGCTTCAGTTATGTGAGAAGGAAAGGGTGTCACAGTCTTCTTCATGTCTGTCTCATTTACTTGCTCGCCTCTTTACAGTGTATTCTGCCAGTCAGTCGTACTCCGTTGACTTGTTGCGCTTGATTAATTGAGCGAGATGTGGGCGTCACTGACTTTGTCTCTGTGCGGACTTTGGCAATCATTTGTCTCGTTTGTTGCTTGATTTATGCCGCATAATTATTGACACCTACAAATCAGATGTGTCAGGTGGGCAAATTGCAAAAGTGAAGCTTGTATAATGCTTCCTGATCACAGACAAAGCAGAGAGAAGGGGCCACACAGAGAAAGAGGGAGAGAGTGAGGTAGAGAGGGGCTGCATGCTAATTTATAGTTACGAATCTTGCAGTTGCTACTGTGACTGCCCCCAATTTGGAAATGCTTGAATATGCATAAGGCGTATGCATGGAGTATAGAGTGTGTGCGGGGTATATGCCTCTATTGTTGTTGTATCTGAACCGGTCTTCACGCCCCATTCCATTCCATTTCGATTGCTTGTCAAACAAACTAGCCTCGGCATTAAAAACTAATTAAACGCTTCGTGTTTCCAAATGCAAATGGCATTAATTTGGCCTATTTGTTATCTCGTGCACGTTTTGTAACCGAAAACCCATTAGGCACTTGAGCACACACCCTGCATACCCTCTCTATCCCCTCTCTGTCGCTCTCTTTATCAGAGACTCATTAAGTAATTTCTGTGACTTATCTAAAACATAAATACTGAAGGAACGAAGAAATACTCTAGGGCTAACCACTTGGGTCCTGTCCCTGTCTCAGGTATCCACTTAGGGCGAGTGAGAGTCAGGAGTGAAATGTGCCCTTTCTTCTCGTTTCAGTCAAGGGGTGGTTTGTTTTGGTTGCATCTACACAAAACATAAAAAATAATGTAGGAGTGGAAGAAGAAGAGGAGCAGAAGAAAACCTTTCTTCACAGCAAATGTATGTTTTCAGTTGTAATTCGAGTTTAACTGCCCAATGCCCACTGCCAACTGGCCACACACTTTCCAAGGAAAGTGCAACAGTTGTTAACATGTTTCAACTTGCTTCCAATACGTGGAATCAGTTCGAACGCAGACAGTTTGTCTGGCTTGTCAGCCAGAGGAAACGAGAGCAAAGGGGAGGTAGTTAAAATCGAAATATATTTATTTTCGTTTTATTTAGGTAGACATCTTGACTTAGTTAAGTTTATCATCGTAGTTGTTATTCAATCAAGCAATCGCTCCAAATGCATCCTCGAATCATATCCTTCATCTTCAGCTATCGCTTGAATGTCATCTGCGCACTTCCTGCGCTCATCGAGTGCTAATGACATTAATGATACACACACACACGCATACATACAATTGTCATTCGATAGTGGCTAAACACATAATAGATATATGTACACACATACATTAGTACTTATATCTATGTGCATATATTACATGTTTATCGGCTCGACTTCTACTCGTTGCTGACTGACTAACGATGCCAGCGCACATAATATGCCATAAATATTTCATTTTACAGTTGTACAATATTTGATAAATAGAAACATATTTGAAGTGCTAAAAACAACAACAGCAACAAGAACAAGCGCGTTTGCCTGTCAGCGACTGCAACTGCGACTGCAGCTATTAGCTACAATAGCAATTTAGCCAAATGACAATGGCAACAACTGCGAAATGTATTCGTAACTCAATTAGGCAATGATCATGAGGCGCTGGCTAATTGTTGCTAATCGCCGCAGAATCGACACGAATGCACAAAAATAAATACATATATAGCATATACACATGGGCAGGTTACACTTGGAGAAAAGTGGGTGCATATAAACGAGGTAAGTTGAGCTGTGGGTGGGGAGAGGCACTCGAAAAAATAGTCGACTGAGTTGTGGGAACATTGAGCAGAAATAGGAGCAGAGGCAGAGAGCATGAGCCAAATTGACGTTTATGTTCAAGGATGATGTAGTTACACTCAGAGAAATATTTTAAGGGAGGGAACTACACTGAACGAAAATTAAACTTATGTCAAAGAAGGAACAAGCTTGCTGTCGATTAGAACGTATTTTTTCTCAGTGTGCGCTATAGCAATGCTTGACAATAATTAGCATGAAATACACAATAATCGAGCGAGGGGCAGAGCTTTGGAGCTGAGCACTAAAAAACGCCCACTTAATGCAACAGACGAGTGCAAAGATGAACTGCGACTGCCATAAATCGAGAATGGGAGATATATGCTGTAGGCTACAGATAGAGAAATTCCACTTATGAATGTGCCCAATCAACATTGAGTTATCTGCAATTTGTTTTAGCTCTGCTTCTTGGCACATGCCGCAAATTAATTGAAAACACAAAAAAATAACCCAACTGAGAATTAGCCAAAGCCATTTGCATAACAAAAAGAGATAGAGAGGCAGAAGCTGAAACAAAAACAAATATCGGAATCGATATGGGAAATGAGAATGGCTTCGGCTTCTGAATAATGTTTCGTTTCAATTAGGCTAAATTCAAAATCTACGCAAACAATTTTGTTGCAGTCGCTCAATTGGAAATTGCCACAAAATTAATTACGGTTCGGCTGTCTGTCTAATCAAACAAGATTCTCTGCATATGCACGACTGGGTGATACCCTATACCCAAATGATAGAGGAGGTATTCGAAAAGTAAAGTATCTTTAGTATGATTTTGGGAAACTATGGGGAACCATGCATCAAATTTTATATTTGGGGCAACTGTATCATGTTTCGTTTATTTCCATTAACACTTGCTAGCATTGCAGGGTATATGGGCTTCGAACAAATGTATCGATTTCGATTTCGAAAAAAAAAAAAAAAAACAAAAATTGAGACATTTATCAATGAAACATTTGTATGCTAATCGATTGAAAGTTCAACGATGAAGCGCAGCAGCAATTTATGGCCACGCTAAGTGAGGGAGCACGATTGAAATTGGAATCGTTCTACATGTATAGATATAGTATAGGTACAGATACAGATACAGATATAGATATATGGATGTATTTACCTTGCGACTCATCAAAGTCCTTGGTGGTCATCTGGAAGAGCGCGTCGAGCGGCGTGCCATTGGCCTTGGCCTTGGCCTCAGCTGCGGCGACGGCGGCGGCGGAGCTGGCGTTGCCACCCGTCTGGGCGGGACTGGAGGCATTGGCATTGCCTGAGCTGCTGTTGCCCATTTGAGCAGAGGATTGTGGACTGTGGCTGCGACGCAGTGCAGCGCCTGCAGCAGCAGCAGCGGCGGCAGCWGCAGCCGAATCGCGGGCTATTTCGGGCGAGCAGCAATCGCTGGCAGCGGAGCTAGAGCGATCCGAGCCACTCTCCGAGGGAATGATGTCCATGCTCATGTGGCGCAGCAGCTGCGCTTGGGCATTGAAGTGCTCCTGCAGCTGGCGATGATAGTCGAGGGCCAGGCGCTGCTCGTAGTGCAGCAGAGCTGAGGGAATGAACGGGCGAACGGGCATGGGCCCGAGCAGATGATCCCATGGACGCACGATCTGTGCCCCGGGCAGCAGCATCGCAGCAGCGGCAGCTGGATGCATGTCCAGGGGCTCGGTGCGGGGCTGTAGCAGGCCGGAGACAGGCCGGGCGGCTGGTGGGGCCAGCAGCGTGGCAGCCGGCGGTGGGGATGTGGAGGCCGAGCGTTGCTGCTGCTGCTCCTGCTTCTCAGAGTGACCGAGAATGTCCGCAATGGAGAAACTCTTGACGCCTTCAATGGCGGACTTTGTGGTGGCCGTGGCCGTGGTCGTGGCTGTGCTGACAGCGGCATTAGATGTGGGCGGTGCAGGAGGACTTGGCGTCTGTTCACGCGTCTCCGATGAGCTGGAGGACATACGCAAGCGCTTCAGCGGCTGGAAGTAATCCTCCGGCAATGTGCCGACGGCATTGCGCGTCAGTCCGGCTGCAGCAGCTGCGGCAGCGGCGGCGGCAGCAGCGGCGGCATGTTGCTGCATCAGCAATTGCTGTTGCTGCAGCAAATCGCGTTGATGGTGCAGCTGGTGCTGCTGCTGCTGATGGTGATGATGGTGYTGGGTCGGCAGCGGGCTGGGTGCACCGCCGACGGAGATCTCGGATTCGGCAGGACTGGCCGGACGCATTGTGGGCGGACAGAGCATTTAAATACTGATCAAAAATTATTACACACTTTCACACACACACAGAGAGAATTTGTCTGGAGCGGAATTTGGTTGCACTTTGTGTCTGCGTCTGGTTATTAAATATATTTAGTATTTATAGATATATTTGCTTGAATATATACTATATCAGTTGGTAAACATGCGACGCGCAACGATAAACTATAAACCAAAACGATAAGCGATAAACGTTAAACGACAAACGACGCTGATCCAATAGGAGGACCTCTCAACTCGACGTTTCACAGTCAACTGTTCGAAACTAGATTGAAGATTGGTTTGCTAACTAGACACGTCGATATTTCTTCAGTTCTTTTGCTGCCCGCGCCGCAGCGCTCTCCGCGCTGCTCACTTCAGCTCGTCGTGTGCGTGTGTGCGTGTGTGTGCCGTCTCTTTAACATCGTTTGCTCTCTCTGTGTGTGCCGTCGTGTCGTGTCGTGTCTCGTTTGTCGGTGGTTAAACTCGGCAATCAAATCATAACTGCACAACAAGACGAACGCTCTCTGCGAGAGCCAACCAGTTTGGCCTTTGGCTGTCTGCGTTAGAGTGAGCCGGCAATACTTGTGCGCTCTCTTGCGCGCTGGCCAATCGGCGGGCTGAAAGGCAATGTTAACAAAAAATAGCAATGGTGGCGTATACGTAACGGTAATTATGGCGTTCATCATGCGCCACGCGCCAAAGCGAGATAGCACCAACGTAAACGCTCTGCACACTGGTGTAAGTGAGTGTGTATGTGAGCGAGGGAGGCAAAGCGAAGTGAGTGAGAAAAAACAAGTAAAACCCCAACGAAAGGCGACGCTCCTCAGCTTGTAACGAGACTGTATTTAGTATTTTCAGTCTCTGCTAAAGTTTTCACAACTTCGGCAGCGACGTCGACAGTGACGTCGGCAGCGACTCCGACCCGACCCCGTTTAATGACGCATACTACACACAAGCGACCATCTACATACAGCCGCGCTCCTCCACAGCGGCATACGCGTTTAATTGTAAAGCGTTTGCATTTAATTTGTTGCAACTAAGAACATTTCATTAATTCAAGCAAGCTGCAAATGAATTTGAGCTTCAAGAACTACAATTGGGTCGGAAATATAAATAAATAAATTTCAGATTGTTTGATGGAAATTTATATGAGGTTCGAGTGTTAAAGATGGGGAAGTATTTTTATTTTTTAATTATCAAAATAACGAAATAAAAATGGAAATTCTAGGTATCTCAATTATTTTATTTCAATTTTTATTTTTTATTTTTTGTGTGTTGTACTCAAGTTTGGCGGCATAAAAAGGAGAAGTATAATTGCAGAAATGATCAGATATTATATACTCATTATTTTTTAAATTATATATTGAGTATATGAAATATGAAAACAAATATGGAAGGAGAAAGAGACTTATACATTAATTATTTTTCAATTCTCTCAATGTTTTTGACAATACCATAAAGTCCTTTCGTTTACTTATTTTTCTAGAAACTCATTTCAAAACTCATTTGTGTTGCTTGGAAATCTGATATGTCTGTTGTATGTTACATTAACTAATTGTTGACACAATTTGTTCGACTTAAACACATTGCTGACATGGCTGGGCCATAGAGCTCGGCTCTAATCCTTTTAATTGAAACAAATGCGAGGCCCAAACAAAGGAGGCCCACCGAGCGGCAAACAAAAGGCGTCAAGGCGTCTGAAAGACAATAGGCCCAAAAGGCACTTAAGAAACAAGAAAATCGGAGAATCGGAAAAAGGGAAAATCGGAAAATGGGAGAATGGGAAAATAGGAAAGCAATTGCTGTCGCTGCAGGATGCTAAATGAAAAAGAAAAGGAATCGCCGGCAGCGCTCGACTTTAGCCGCAGTGGGTCTTCAAATCCCACCAGGTAGCCTTACCTGGACAACAACTGTGGCGGCTGCTGCTGCTGCTGCGGCTGTTGTTGATAAGGACTAATCACACAAATATTTGAGCATTTGGTTTCTGATTGAGTTTAGCCGCGAGGGCAGGGGTCAAACAAAGCGGCTCGTTTGATTTACCAGTTTAGCGCTTCTGTATTGCCCCCTTTTATTGACCTTTATATCTATCTATCTATCTCACTCTCTCTCTCTCTCTTTCCTTTTCGTTCTTTTACTGATAATTCTAATTTCTTATTTGGATGGTTCATTCGCGGCTATTAGAGAGCCGCGGCGTGGGAAAAGCCTGCGGTGTTAATTATGCCGCCAAAGTCCTTGGAAAATCCTTTAGACTAAATAAAAGGAAAGTCAATTTACACCTGTTACACCCTTCATTCCATGTGCTTGTGTGTGTGTGTGGCTTCATTCACACGCTGATAAATTGTGTCTCGCCGGGTGAAAGTGCTGGCAAAGGCTTCATTAATATTCAAATGCTATTTTCATTGATTTATCGCCGGGGAGCAGCTGAGGGCAGCTACTGTCGGCAGCTGCAGTGGCAACTGCGGCGGAAACGCGGCACCACAATTTAACTCATTTAACTTATCTAGCCAGCTTATCCACCAAGCTAATCGAAACGATTTACATTTTCAATATATATCGCACAGGCTGCCCACGCCTTCAAATTAYTTATGGTTGTGTGTGTGTGTTGCTTGAGGCCAAACTTCATGGCCAGAACCAACAGCAGCAAAAGCACCAGCTACAGCTAAGAACGCTAAAGTCGGGCGTAAGCAGCTGCATAATACTTACCCACAATCATAAAATGAGTTGAATTCTTTGAGGTAAACTAACTTCAGGGTCTGTTTGATGCTAAAACTGGAAGAGATTATGATTTTCTTGTTTACCAACTCTCTACCGGGCAAAAATACAAAAATTCTGATATTTCGATATGACATTGTCTGTATACATTTTTATACTATATTTCTATACCATCATTTATAAGCCCTATACACCCATTTCATATCGTGAGCAAGTCTAGCAACAGCATCAACTGGACTGTAATTGGCAATTAGCAAGCTTTCAACAGGCAGCCACAGTCACAGCTACCAATTCGAGTTGCTGTTCATTTTCAACAATTTTGTGTGGCAGCTGCCAATTTGCATAACTCAAGAGCTCCACAAAATCCGCTAGTTCCACAGATCAGCCCCAGCCCCAGCCCACGCTCGCCATTGACACCTGGCTGTCAGCCGAAGTTAAGTTGATTGTCGCCTCCGAGCTGTGATTTCGATTAGAAGCCGCCAAAGTGCTGACGATTGGTAGCAGATCGAATTATACATGTGTCTATATATCTATGTACATATATAATAGTTTATTTTTATTGGAATTCTAATTTCTTATGCTTGTGCTGCAATTTGGCATCAAGTTCTGCTTCGATTTGAATTGATCTTGACGTTTGAACTGAGAATTTCGATTCTGCATATAAATGATGAAATCTATATAAAATAAATATTTTAGATGACAGATAAGAAGAAATCTCTAGCTGAACTACTAAAGCAGCAAAGAACATAAAAGAATAAACTCGAATCTTAGACCTTATCAACTCAGCTAACATTTCTTACACTCCCTTTCTCTCATTCACTTACTCTCTCTCTCCCTCATATATACACTGAAAGACCTCGCTAATCCTTGGCATGCGTAAGAGTGGCACAGACTTGTGGCATTTCACTTATTTTGTTTAGTAGCGGCCCAAGCCTTGTGCATTTGACATACAAACTTTAGACCTCAAAGAGATCAGAGCCACTGTCTCGGAGAAAGTCTGAAGTGCTGAAAGCTAAAGAAAAGTCATTAGCAAAGGTAGTTAGACGCAAAGCAAAGGTATTAAGCATTGCCAATTTCACAGTTATTAGCCGTGCGAGTCAGAGAGAGCGAAAGAGAGAGGCAGACACGAATAGTAGCAAATCGACTTAAGCCGTTTAGGGCCACCCACATCGAGAGTGGAGCAATGCGAAGCGAAGCGAACCAGATGCCAAGATGTGGAAGCATGTCAAAGAAAATGCAGCTTTCAGGTCAAGTTTTGGTAGCATCACTCGGCTACGCTAATCAAACCACTACGCTCTACAATAGTCGGCCAAAAGTTAAGAGCTCGAAAAGTCAAAAGAGCTCGAAAACTAAAAACCGATAAACAAAGACAACAAATCAAACGCTCACTGAAAATGGAAAGCACGAAAAAACAGTGGAAAACAATGAACAAACGAATGCTAATTAAAGCGATGCTCAAATTGAAATGTTAAACTTTTAGTAATACCCATTGAATGGTAGAGTGATGGACGTGGGATATGATAGGCTAGAATCTCGAGTTGTATGCTGAAATAAAGTTTAGTTGAGATTGTGATGGAATGGGATTGAAGAGAAAGAGAAAGAGAGAGATAGAGAGAGAGAAAGGGCGAGAGGGAGAGAAAGCGAGTGAAGGATCACTCTCACGAGAAAGAGAGTAAGGCAAATATATACATTTTGATACAGGGTATAAACTAGTTGAAGTTATATGAAATCTAAAATTCATTCATACTTACGACTTTATCGCGTGTGGTTCATCAGCGGTGAAAAGCAGCTGAAATCGAGCTGCCACTGGCCAGAACCAGAATCAGAGCCAGATTCACAGTCTGAGGCAGATTCATAGTCAGCTCGATTTGGATTTGAATTTGAGCTTGAGGTTCTTCTTTGGCTCTCAGGTGCTGCTACTGTTGCGAGCTATATCAATATTGACCCTTGATCTAGCTACTCACACGCTCTACTCGCCGCTCGCCACTCGCATCGGCAGTTCTTTGAGAACTCTTGTTTAGATACTTTTTCGACTGAATGCCGCATACAAATATTTGTCCGCTGGCCTCTTAATTGAGTTGGCTGAGCGCTCGGCTCTTGGCTCTGGTCTACGCGTGGCCGGCGTTCATTTTTGACCGATGTGTGATAATTACACTAGCATCGATGCTGCGGCCCCTTTGATGGGAGGCGGCGGGTGGGGGCAGCGGCAGGGGCAGCCTCTGAGGCAGCGGCCTTTTCTCTTTGACTCCAACTTTTGCGTTGGCCGTGCGCAAACAAACGGTTCACTGCATTTCTTTATTGTTGCAGTTGCACTGTAAGTTGTTGTTGTTGTTGTTGTTGTTATTTCG